TAACCCATAACTAGAGTGGCTCCATAGCTAAGAGAAAGATAAGGAAGAGACATGAGAGAGCTAGTGACCACTGGCCATTGAACACCAAGAAAAGGGAAAGTACAAGTGAGGCAATAGCCAGTAACAAAACAAGTATGAATTATTATTAGGTGTAATATTTTCCTTTAAAACTAAATAAGTTATCATATAACCTATTGATAACTTGGTGACAAGCATTGATTGCAAGGGCAAAGGCTAATAAAAAGTGAGGCATTAGCTAGTAACAAAACAAGTATGAATTATTATTAGGTGCAATAGTTTCATTCAAAACTAAACAAGTTATAAGATAACCTATTGATGACTTGGCAACAATCACTGATCACAAGGGTAAAGGCTAATGACAAATGCATTATTAGCCAATGACAAGTAAAGAAAGCTACCAGTATAAGAATTTCATTCCATAGTGAACAAGTTAACTAATGTTCATATTGATAACATGACAATGTGCATTAACAACATGGCAATGGCTAATGACAATGTTTCATAACCTATTCACAAATGGACTTATATCAGAATACACTAAAAAATGACTTTTGGCTATGACATTGACATTGTGCAGCCACTAAAAATCGCCGCCAAAAGTAGATATTTAGTGGTGACTTTTAAATGTCACAGCCAAAGGCCCTTTTTAGCAACAACTTTTAATTGCTACCGCTTTGTTGCTGCTAAAGTATATTCATAAAAAATAATTTATGTAATTACTTATGTCGCTATGAAAAGTATTTTCATAAAAAATAATTAAAAATAAAATAGTTATTTTTAGCGACGATAAACTATCGTAGCCAAAAGAATTTTTATAAAAAATAATTAAGATATTAAAATAATTTATGTAATTATTGTCATGGCCAAAATTATTTCCATAAAAAATAATTAAAAATAGTTAAGAAATTAAAAATATTTTTACAAAAATTATTTTACATAATTACTTTTAGCAGCAGAATTTGTTGCCACTAAATATATTTATATGTAGAGTGAGAAATAAATTATATATAATATTAATAATGATTACTTTTAAAAATAATGATCTTGTGAAGCTAGTATTTTAATAATGATCTTATTTTAATAATTACATTTAAAAAATTTCTAATGGATTATTTTTTAATAATGATCTTATTAAGCTAATATATATAATCAAGCTAAGTTATATATAAATTATAAATGAATTATTTTTATAATTTTTATGAATTATTTTTAAAAAGTTCTTTAAATTATAATCAACCCAAGTTATACATAAATACTTACTTACATACATATATATAAATAGCATTAAAATTGTATAAATGTTGTAAGATACAAATGTCATTATAGACTACATGACACAATTCACACTTAATGCTTAGCTTGGTATACACATGGTGTCTACTCTACCTATTAAGCTCTACTTTTCACTACCATATGATTATTTAAATAAGATGCTCCATATTTAACGGTTATTTAAAATAAGCAACAAATAAAATAGGTGAAGAATACTTAATGATTTTTAATCGTCAGTAAAGTTAGTTGTAACATATGTCACACTGTTACTTGATTGTTAAAAACTATCAAGTGTTAACAAAAATAAGCATCAAGTATAGGGGTACCTTGTGATAGTATTTTCTCATCCAGTTTCTACTCTTCAAATTACTCAAATTTTTTAATTTGTTAATGTTAAATTTGTTGGGATTATTGTTGGATGAGAATTGTAAACTTGGTTGTTTAATTTATGTTAAAATTTGAATTACAGATAAAATTATGTGTAAACTTATTAAAGTTTATTTATTTTAAATTGTAAAGTTGTTGGGAAGTATTTCATATTATCTTGATATTGAATCTATTAAAGAGACTTTAATGAAAGTTCAAACTAATTAATCTAGATCTAATCAAGACAAGATTTTTTTCTATTTCAATTATGAAATATTCACTTAGATTTTTAATTTGGATTTTTTTTTGTTTAGTAACTGCTTTTAGTTTATCACGTGTCTACCTATTTTCTATCTTAAAGATAATAAAGAATAATTATTCAAAATAATTATTAACAAAATTTATATAATTAGAATAAATTTTTATTAATTTTTTTTAAGATGATTAAAAAATTATAGATAAAATTTATTTTTAATAAAAGAAAGGGAAGCATTTAACTTGAGAGAATATAAAAGTTTAATCATTTATTTATTAATTTTTGATAAAAATATTAAAAAAAGTGAAAGATATTTAACATAAACTAATATAATACATACTTATAAATAAATTATATACTTAACTATCTTCATTTAAAAATAAAATAAAATTTAAAACTTGGTTAAAATGTTTATAAGAAAATAATTTATAGTTGTAAGAAAATTGGTTAAAATGTTTATAAAAATAAATTATATACTTAAAATTACTTATAAAATTTAATTATTTTAAGATTAAGTTTGTTGCCGCCAAAAATTATTATTAGTGACAAGACTTTTAGACTTTTGGTAGTGACTTGTCAATTTTTTTTTTTTTTTGTAGTGATGGGCTCTCTCTTTATACAAGAAGGAAATTAAAAATGCATGTGGATATAAGATATTATTGAAAACTGAATTACATAAAACTCTCAAAAAATACGAATGCTACCAACTTTAGTCTTTTGTATTTTTGAAATAAAATCAGTGACAATGGGGTCCATTTATTTTATAATTTTTCCCCCCACTTTCGTGCTCAACTTTATCTTATATATATAACTAGAGTCTGTGAGAAGAGAACACTTTCTAACAATGGTTGAGCAAAGCCATTAAACACAGATACACACGATCATATATACTAGTTCTGTAATTTTTGTCAAATATAGTGATGGTGCCATGCAATTGAACACGTGGCAATTACAATTTTCTGATGCTATTCATTCGATTAAGCCCCACCTTATGTGTCACAAGATGGAGTATTTTTCTATATAAAACTGTCTATTATGAAGTAAGCATAGTTGTGCGAATGTGCCATGAAACATTGTCATTCTTCGCTGTGATGTTGTTAATACACGTTGCCTTGTTGTCAATATCAATATCATTTAACTTGTTCACTTTATAATAATGAAATTCTTATACTAAAAAATTTTCTCACTTGTCATTAGCCTTTGCCATGTGGTCTATGGATGTTGCCAAGTTGTCAATAGATTATCCTATCATTTATTCAATTTTAAAGAAAACTTTTACACCTCATAAATTCTCACTTGTCATTGGTCGATATATACTTCACTTATCATTAACATTTTCCCTGGTCAGTGGCCATTGCCAAGTTATTAATAGGTTATCTTATAACTTGTTTAGTTTTAAAGGAAACTATTCACTTAATAAATCTGTACTTATCACCAACTGAGGCCTCAATTGTCATTAGCCTTTGCCTAGTGGTCAATGGCACGTGGTCACTAGTTTCTCTCTTGTCTCTTCCTTATCTTTATCTTAGTTGTGGAGCCACCCCAATTCTAGGTTGTGCATCTGCAACATATATAAGTCGCAGTTGCATAAAACTATTGACAATGATAATTATATTCTGGGGACGGAGGAGCTTGATCCCTTGTAAAAGCGAAGAGATTGAGTGGGAGGGATTGGGATTTTATTAAATTGATGAAAGAGGGGAGATTTGAGATTGAAGAGAGAAGAAGAAGTTGTCTGTAAGAAAGAGAGATAACAAGGTGTGAAGTAAATAGTTGTTTCTTTTGTATGAAGCCGAGATGAATTTGGGATTGATTATTTAGAGGCTTCCAGATCGTGGTATCAAGGTGGGCAAGTTTGCTAGTAATAGAAGAAATTCTTTTGGTCATGAGCTTCCTATTGTGTATACAGAAATGGACAATGAATAAGAGCTGGCCCAAAATGTGAAAGACATGCACGCGAAATGCCTGTGTTTCATCTTCTTTCCTATTAACTCCAGAAGGGCATTTTGATCATTGTAACTTTAATCTTATTCACACCTCAGTCCCAAGGGGCCTGACAGCTATGTAAGAATTTCATGAGACTTTTGGGTATTTTTAATAGTTGTGTGGGACTTCATGATGATTTTTTCAAAAAAAAACAAAAAACAATATGTTGAAGCTAAGTTGACTTCACAGTCAAAATTTGTCGGTTGTCAAGAAAATTCCTTGGTCCTGGCATGCTATTTCGAAATTATTTAATCCTTTTATAAAATTTTGTTTCTTCTAATGTCCTTAAATGAGATTCTCCATAGAAAAAAATTTAATTATAATCGCCTTGATCCTTTTTAAAATTACTAAATTACAGTTCATAACTAGAATTAATGTCTTTAGAAAGTTGTCAAATGCCATTCCCTTCTTCCATTATTTTCGTAATCACAACTAACATAATTGATTTAGTATATACTTTATATTTTCTTTTACACTTTTTTAATTTAAATATAATAGAAACAGTCGAGAGTAGAATATATTTTGAGAGAATCATGTCCAAAGACCACTCAAGCAAATTATTCATAGACAATGATTAACATTAAGTCCCATTCAGGAAAAAATAAATCATGTTCTCATTTTAATAATAATATATTTCCTATTGGTCTTTGTGAATAGTTTTTTTTAAGCAATCCTTAGATGTGATTCTTCCATATATTTATAAGAACACAATCATTGTTCTAATTTAGTAAATGAATTATTCACCTTCCTCATGAATTTGTGTGTTTTGGGTGCCAAATTACAAAAGACAAGGAATCGAGGTTGATAATTAAGACTAACAAAACAAAGTAGCTTGCTACCCTTATCTACACTTGATAAACAAATCATCAAGGGCATATTGCTCATGGAAATACACAAAAGACAAAAAGGACATTAAAAAACATGAAAATTGAGGAACACAAAATAGGGTATTACAAGAAAAAAAGCAATTAAAATCAACAAGAGCACAAAGACTCACCACGGTACTTTTTAATAGGAAACTGGGCAATGCCCAAACTATATTATTATAATAGAAATAACAAAAGGGTAGCGAACCCTCAAAGTATCTTGATACAACCAGTTCAGAAGCTCCGAATATTATTATAATAGAAATAACATGAGGGTAGCAAACCCTCAAAATATCTCGACACAATGAGTTAAGAAACTCCTAAGGAGGCTTTAAACAAATAAAGCATCTATGATCTTGCATAGTATCAAACTTAGCAAGCCGGTCCGCACATATTATTCTCTTGAAAAACATGTCTAACTTCTACTTGCTAATCACTATCATAACAGGATCAGCTTCTTGTGGTGGACTAAACAAGAACAGTTCTCAGCACCAATCTCCTCACCAATACATGGAGAATTCTTGCCACTACTATCTTTGTACCAAATTGATCGGTTCTTCACAAAGTCACTCACAAAGGAATCCAACATTTTCACAGTGACATGTCGCATCACGATCACATGTGATACATTCCCTTCATTAGACAAGCTCCACTTGTGAGAAAATGCATCATCTAGAGGCCTCTCGAATACCACGGTATTGCTAAACTTGTTCAACATGGCTCCAATGCCATGGCCTCTCAAGCAATTTTGAAAGTAAATCGCCTTGTTGTTGCACTCTTCAACTTCTTTCCGGAGGCCGTTGATGCCTTTCTTGTTTAGAGCATACCAAAGGAAGATGGATGCAAGCCCCCCTCGGCTTCCAGAGATAGTGGTGTCTCTTGAAGAGATGTATTCTACTTCTTTAGAGACGAGATCAACATATTTTAAACGAGTTATTATAACACTACAAGGGACAGGGCATCCAAGAAACTTGTGGCCTGAGGTAGTTACACTTCCAATAGGTTTCTTGAAAGTGATCCTTGGTGCCTATACATTCAACCCAGAGAGACCATGATTATTAAGTTAGGTAGAAACAAAATTCAAAACAAGTTCTCCATAAATATATAGCTAAACGCTAAGAGACTTTTTTAATTAAGGCTTTCTCTCTTTAACATTACATACCGAATAAGTACAGTAAAGGTGTTTCATTAAAGGCTATTTTTTATTTGTGCTAACATTATCTTTTAATTTCTTTAGAACTTCATGCTTGTACATGTAATTCACAGGTTTAGAATTTCCTATTATAATATTTTGTAAGTTTTTCTTAAACCATATGTGTTATTTTTTAAAAATTTTTGGGGAGAATTACATTTAAGTTCCCCACAACACAAATAAGTACCAAAAGGTCCATTGATATAGTTGAGCATGGCAAAATGACAACTAAAGTTACTGTTAGCTTGACATGCTCGGTTGTTAATGGGCTCTATAATATTTAATTATATTGTTGGAGACTTGAGTGTAACTCCCTGATATTTTTTATACCCTATGCTTGTTGTATAGCATGAAAGTGTTCTCTAGTTTTTTTAATTTATTATAGTGATATCAATTAAATGTTTCAATTTTGATTTAGTTACTCACTCCATTAAGAAATGGGAGCATCAATCCAAATAAAGCTGCATCGCAGTGAATGTAGAATCGATCTTGAGTAAAACCACATTCTTCAAGAACTTGTAATACATGGTCCACATCATCAATGCCTCCTTTTATAGTTGTCCCTGAAATAATTAAGAAAACAACAATTTTTATTGATTTTAGTGTGTAATTAGATATTGTGAGAGAGAGAGAGAGAGAGAGAGAGAGAGAGAGGAGAGACCTAGGTTTAAGTTGATGATGGCTGGCTTGTCCTTGTTGTCAAGAATTGAAGCTTTTAGTTCATTATAGTCAATCTCACCTGAGATTAGAGTCCCAACTATCACACACTTCACTCTAAAAAGCCTTGCTGCTTTGAACACTGAATAATGAGAGTCTCGTGATGTGTAAAGAATTCCATCAGGATATAGTTCCCTCCTGTGTGTATAATACAGATATAATAAATGATCAAATCACTTTTAAAAGTAACTAACTCATTTCAGTTATATGATTTTAATATAATCATATTGTTAATGAAACAAAAAAAAAATCAAATGTAGACACTGACCCTACTAAAATCCCATGAAAATTTCCTTCAGTTCCACCATTTGTAACATATCCCCAGTACTCATTCTTCTCTATTTCCCAAAGTTTCGCAAACCAATCAAGTACACACAGTTCAAAGAGATTTGAGTTAAGTGAGAAGCTGTTCCCTATAAATGGATCACCCATATTGTTCAAGAAGAAACGTAGCAACTGCACTAACGCATCATAGTCAAAGTCCTGATTTGTGGGATACCCTGTGCAAAAAAATACAAGGTAAGAATATAGATGTATGTATTTAGAAACTTAGTTTATCAAGCAAATGAAATTAGTTGAGTGTCATGGACATAAGTCCAAAGAAAGAACTCGCCCTAAAAGACTAGCTTATGAAGTGTGGAAGTTTCTCACACTTATAAACTCTACTCTATTTGTGGGACTCCTTGGTGTGAGATTCTTGACATGCCACCCCATGGTACTTCACTTAGCCTTATACTAGTTAGAACCCTCTTTGTCAATAACCCTTTCTATGGCATTGGGCTTTCAACAAAAGTACCAATATCTTGAGTACAAGTCCAAAGTGAGAACCCATCCCAAAAGACTAATGTATTAAGTGGAAGAGCTCTTTACATTTATAAACTTTACTCTAATTGTGAGACTTCCCGTGTGGGACTCATGATATTGAGTAAAACTGAAAAAGTAGAAAGTATTATGAATAATTTACCTAAGAAGTGATTTCTTCTGTGACTTATAGTGTCAAGAAAGCTGGCAATTACATTAGCCACGTGTGCATCTGTGTCCACCCCACTGAACTCAGAGATGGTAGGTTTGATCATTGAGGGTTCATTATCAAGCGAAGATTTCCCCGTTTGCTTTTCTTCTTCTTCTTCTTTTTGGATGGGCTTGATAGTGTTAACCATCAATGCAAGAACCTGATCTCCATCTACAGCTGACGAAATGTAACGTAGCATTGCGTTCTCCATTACTGTTTCACTATTCTTCTGTGTGTCTATCGGATAGATATTCAGAACTTATAGCATTTGTCCATATTTATGTAAAAGAAAAACAAAAAGAGGGAAAAAGTGGGTTTGGAATCAAAGAAACATCCGAATTGGAGGCTATTGATCATGCGGATTAAATGCAGGCAGATCACAGACTATGTTGTTAAATTTTTTATATCTTACTTTATATTTCTATATTTCTCTGCAAACATAGGGATTGTTGGATATAATGACCTCATTGAATAATACTCACAAAGTAGTTGAGCTCTCATGCATTATAAGAAAGTTGAAAAATAAACTGATGTATCGTAGATAAATATTCTCTTGTAATTTTAAATAATACCTTGAATTGATGTTATGTTGGTAAATAATGGTGATGAAATTGTTGATAACATATTTTATTAATCTTTAGCTCTTCAGGAATGTATAAATTATATACAACTCTTTTATTTATAATGCAAGTATTCTCAGATGCTTTGAATCTCTGACAAAAAAAAGAAGCATGGTGAAACAGTAAGGTAGAGAAGGCAGTGCTGGCTTTCAAATTGAGTACATTATCATTCTCTCTAGTTTTATAAATATTCTGCAATTCTCTATTATCAACATGTATGTTTTGTCTTTATATATTCATATATTACCCATTGTATACTATGCAAAAGAACCACTGAAATGGAGGCTAATTTAAACACACGTTAAAATAGGGGCAGATCGAGGTTTAAAACTTTAATGCTAAAATTTTTTAAAACTTTTTATTCAATGCTTTTATAATTATTTTATATTGGGGTAGATGACCTAACAATACTGATATTAAAAGAAGTTCAATGCCCGACTTTAATTGGTTCCTTGTGATTTGTTTACAAGACTCCACTTTGTCTTATGTTTCATTTTTTATGGATGCAAGGCATTGGAAAAACAAGTTTAATTTTTTTTCTTTTCAATAATTCAATAATTTTTTTTATCATAATAAGAGGGTTTGAATCCTTAATCTTTATTTACACTCCACGGCATACCTTTACCATCTAAATTAGCCCCACGTAGCTAAGAAGACATTATTTGTTTTTCACACAAAAAAGGTGTCCATTATTAATCACCAAAAGAAATATTACATACACTAATCACAAAAGCAAAAAGAAAGCAGCCTAGAGTACAACCTAAAGAAACAAACCAAAAGAAACAGAAGAACAAGCAAACAACAAAATTAAAGGCCTAAAAAACAATCAGCCTATTCCTTCATGCTTCCACGAACGAAGCATCAACCCTGCTACGAGAACATGAGTTTCCTTGAATCTGCCAAAATCAACAAGGAGTGAAGGATAATGTAGAAAAGCAAGGAAATGGGGGGAAAAAAATCCACAGGCAAAGATTAATATTTCCAACCACAACCATAAACAAATATCGAAGAGACGAGCTTGAAATGGACTTCACAGTCAGTCTCAATGCACACATCAAGATTCTGAAACCTGTGATCACAAACGTCCAAAGCCTCTTTGAAAGCTAATTAAGGATTCAGCTCCACAACCACTTTTTTTGAAATATCCCCCAAGAAAACGTCCCATCAATATTTACTTTTACATTACTCGAAGGGGGAGGACACAGATTTGGCTTTTTTTCATTTCTCCTCTCGACTGATACATTTTTAAATAATTGAGGTTTAATTTTTTATAAAATTATTATTAAAATGTGAAATTTTTAAAAAATAAATAAATAACTAAATTTAAAATATAACTAATTTCATCTAAATTATATTTCAAGATTAAGATTATAATTAAAAAATAAAAAATAATTTTATGAAACATTAAATTTCAATCATTTAAAAATGGACCCAAAGGGTTTAATAAGAGAAAGTGGAGAGAGAAAAAATGATGAAAAGCCAAATCCAATCAGTACTTTACCTTATCAGTGGAAGGCCCAAGGCATGTTTGACCGGTACTTTCCATGGCATAACTTTACCATCTAAATTAGTCCCAAATAGGGGGGGGGGGTTGTTGGATATCATAACCTCATTGAATTATACTTACAAAGTACGTGAGCTCTTACACATAATCAAGGAGGTTGAAGTAAACAGTAAATATTGATAAATCTCTTGTAATTCTATAAAATATCTTGAATTAATATTGCTAACTGATGATAATTGTTGATGACATATTTTATCTATCTTCAGCTCATCAGGAATGTATAAATTATATATAACTCTTATGTTTACTATGGAAGTATATTCTCAGATGTCTTGAATCTCTGACAAAACACACAGAAGCATCGTGAAGTACAGTAATGGAGAGAAAGCAATGTTAGCTTTCAAATTGAAGTAAATTATGCTCTCAAGTTTTACAATAGAGAAAATCACAGGTCATGATATTTGAATATTGCAAATAATCAATCAAATCAAAAAAATATTATGAAATTAAATTTTTGGGTCATGGTCTTTTTTTTCCATAGTTTTAAAAATAATATTTTGACTAAAATATCCCTGTCTAGTGACCATGTTTTCAAGTGAGAGTGAAAAAAATTTCAACTCAAATAAGCTGACTTCATAACCCCCTTCAACTAAATTTCCAACTCAATTAAAGTGATTTCATTAATGGTGAATTTTAAGTTTCCAATTGCAATATGGTAGTGAACACTTTTCCAACTCAAATAAAGTGATTTCATAAATCCCTTCAGTTGAATTTTCAATCCAATTATTAAAGTGATTTCTATATTAGCAAATTTTAAGTTGGCCAATTGCAATTCTAGTATCCAATTTTGCAAGCCTTAAAGTAAAAAATTTTCCAAACTCATCAAATAAAGTCATTTCATGATCTCCTTCAACTAAATTTTTAAGCCAGTTAAAGTGATTTCAACATTAGCAAATTTTAAATTGACCAATTGCAAGTATAGGAGTAAAACTGTTTTCAACTCAAATAAAATTAAATTTTCAATTCAATTAGAGTGATTTTAGCGCTAGTGAATTTTGAGTTCCCATTTCACATAGGGCCATTTCAGTCAAAGTATCATTTTAAAACTAAAAAAAGGACGATGGTTCAAAATTTTAATTTTATAATTTTATATTCCTGGTTGGTTAATTACTTACCATATTCGAAGCTCTTTATTTATGATTTTACTTTTATAATATATTCCCTGGATGTTATCGATTGTCGGCGTGCTCAGGTACACATTCTGCACTTTTCTATTATCAATATCTATATGCTTTGTCTTTATATATTTTTACATATTACCCTTTGCATGTGTGGAAAAGAACCACCGAAATGGACGATAACTTAATACATCACTTTAGAATTGGGGCAGATCTAGGTTTAACGATATTGATATTAAAAGAATATCAATGCACGACGTTAATTGCTTTCTTCCACTTTGTCTTATGTTTCATTTATCGTGGAGCCAAGACAGTGGAAACATGTATATTTTGTTTCTTTTCCATAATTCAATAATTACTTCTTCTTTTTTTATATATAATAAGAGGCTTTGAGATCTTAAGGCTATGTTTAATATACAGCATTGAAGGGTTGGGTTTGGCATTGGCATTAAATAAGGCCCAATTTAATGTGTTTGGTACAAAGCATTGGCTCTGACTAGGGTTTGTTGAAGTCCACTTAGATGGGATTACACAAACCCACCTCCTACCTGGTATTGAAAAATTAAACCTGGGTTTGCAACATTTTATGATAATATTATCCATAGTTATAATATTTTTTGGACAAGAGTGCCCCTACTGAGTTTTTGCCTTGATAAAAGTCATCAGCATCGCAAACCTCAAGTTAGAACGCATCTCCATTGCCGCTGCAAAAGACTCCTCCATCGATCTACCCTGTCACCATCTCCTTCATCACACCTTCAGGTACTATTGCTCTGTCCTCTCCCTTCGTTGATCTTCTTCTTCCATCTTCTTCGTATCTGGCTTTTCCTTGTCCATATTTTTGTTTCCTCATCTTTTTTGCTTGGTTAGCTATTGATGCCTCTGGTTCTGATTTATTTTGCATTTTGTTAGCTAGTCTTGTCTTTGTTTGTTATTCTTCATTTTATTTGAGATATTGTTATTTGTTAACTGAGATTTGATTTCCTTTATTTTATTCATTAGCTACTTTTCCTTTGTTTTTTGGATTGTGACTATTCCTGTCTGATTGAAGACACTTCTTCTAGTGCCTGTAATCTTCAGAATAGCTGAGATGCTAAGCATTGTAGACAAAACTGGAAGATGACACATGCTGATGTTAACTATTAATAGTTGATTACTTCATAAATGAGACCGAATAAGAATGATTTGCATGTGATTTTGTTTCATTTTTCCTTTGTAGTTTTCCAACCATAAACATATTTTGTAGTTATGTAGTATTATTTACTATTCATTTTAAGCAGCTAAAATACATTTATTATGATTTTTTTTTGAAGAATGTTATCACTGTGATTTATTGTTAACCACTAATTACTTTCATTCCATTATATATGTTAAATATTAATATTTTATATATTTGTATAATTGGTACATAGTTATGGCACTATCTGAGAAAAAGAGAATACTGTTACGTTTGTTTCTCTTCTGGATGAGCATGACTGAGGTAGTGTATGCATTTTGTATTTATATGTGTATGACTATCATACTAAGGAGATGAAGAATCAGACATATACCTTACAAAATGAATTTTATTTCTAAGAAATCTTACCTAAAGTGAATGATGTCTAGCAGTGATGTAGCATGTTACAACTTACTTAGAATGCATAAATCAACATTTGATAAGTTGTGTTCTATGTTAATGGATGTGGGTGGTCTTAAACCTAGTAAGAACATGCTTGTAGATGAACAAGTTGCCATGTTTTTACACATACTAGCACATCATGTAAAGAATAGAGTAATACAACATAACTTTGGTAGATCAAGAGAAACTATTAATAGGCATTTCAACTCAATACTTACCAATATCATGAGACTTGGAGATATGTTATTGAAGAAACCAGAGTCAGTGGCCGATGACTCTAGCGATGAAAGGTGGAAGTGGTTTAAGATAAATATACATGT